CAATAAGAAGGAAGTGAAAGAAGTTGGTTATCTTTTCTGCATGGTTGTTCTTAAAGGTAATATACAGTTCAGGTCTTTCTTGTCTCGTAATACCTGCCAAGACTGGGGGAAAAAGTACAAGGTTTTAAAAGGCTAAATATCTTCGCCATTCATACTTAAATACCATTGTCAGCAGTAAGCCTCACAGATCCACAAAAATAAGGTTGACATTTTTCCCCTTCTTGAAAAAGAGAGGGGTTTTGGTTTTGTTTTAAGGGAAGAAAAAATCCAAAAGGTACACAAAATGCAATGAACTATTGAGGAACTTACAGCCTTTCAAGAAGAGACTGGATTTGTGGAGACCAAGATGTTAACGTTATTTAAGCATTACATTGATATTCTGACTGCAAAATAATTGTCTCAAATTCACACGTCAAAGTTCCTGATACAAGATGTTATACTCTGCCATTTCCAGAACTTAATTGTGCCTTTAAAATAGGTTATTTCAATTTTTTTCTGTATTCTAGTGTGAAATCCAGGACACATATGTCACATCTGTTAGGCCATGAACCTGCAAATAACTGCAGTGACCCTCCTATCTTTACGCAGAATTCATTTAAACCACAATGTGTAACAAAAACCACAGGAAGAATAATCTCTCGAGGGCAATGAGACAAACAGATTCCTCAGGCTTCTTAAAAAAAGTGCAAGATATTAATAAATACTTGCGGTTTTAAGCAACTGTCATTCCTTATGGTTCCTAGTAAAAAGGAAATTTTTTCAGGGCCATAACACTCTAGTATATAAGGCTTCCAGACAGCTAGGATCAAACAACTGCTTTTACATTTTTCAGAAAACCACACAGGTTTGAAACAAATTTTTTAATTGACAACTCTGAAAAGAGAAGTTCTCACTGATTTCACAGAACAGTGAGAAAGCCCAAAGTACTTTGTAAACCATTGCTTTAGCAGATTCACAAAATCAAATATTTTATGTAAAAGTATGTGAACAGTTCAGTATTTTGTATGCTAACATGGTTAAACAGAAGGAAACTGACATTTCTGAACAGAATTACAAAGCAAAAAAGTTATCCTTTTCTGACTAAGGCAACACCTTAGAGCATTTGTTTTATTACAAGTATCTGGCATTGATTTCCTTTTTGCTGGAGAAGCCCTCAAGATATTTAAGGACTTGATTAACTGGTCTAAAGAGGAGCCTCCAATGACAGCATAACAGCATAACTCCCCATAGACAGGGGAGTCTAACTGGTTAAAGCTGGAAGCCAGTTCTGTGCACTAATCCCTAGTCATAACTACATTATGAATAGTCAAGAGATCTCAGAAAACTAGAATCTGAGCTGCAATTCCAAATGCAATGCCTATGATAGGAGACAAGCATAAAAGAGAGTTGGTAGCAAGGATTTTTAGAAAAAGGATGTTTAACCAAGGCCTAAATCTTTGCTCGCTTCAAAGTGTCCTTGCCTCCTCCACTGACTGGAACAGTGAAAGCTCCAGTCTGAACTGCTCATGTTCTAAAATTATGAGTGTGGTCTCCCTAAAGAAAAGTACCAATTTAATTCACTTGTCAAAAACCAACAGAAAACCATTGGTGGCGATACTTATAAAAAAGGCACAGTAAGAAGTATAAAACACTGTTTATTACCAGTCAAATTCATGTAGGAAGAAATAATGAATGAAGATAAAGTTGTAATTCTAAAGCTATTAACTATCATTAGAATTTTACACACACAAGAAAAATCTAAGACAAAGGGTTTACTATTTCAAGTACCCATTTCAACTTAAGCTTGATGCTTAATGGCAGGCGTTAAATAAATTTTCCACAGAATTTTTCAAAAATACATTTCTATTATTTATATAGTACAAAGCACAAAAATATTCGTAACACAAACATCAGAAATGGGCAGATTCTATGACTAGCATTTGTATAACTATCTTGAAAACCAGAGTGACTGGAAAAATTAAATGAGATGTACTTTTTACCTTCAGAAATTCACCTCTGATAATATCAAACTTCTGTTTTTCATGTACAGCTCTAGCAGTGTTTGTCCCATCGAAGGGCTCTGCAAGATCAAACACATACATTAAAAGTGTTAAAAAAAACTAGAGCTAGGCTGTCTTCACTGAGCAAGTAATCAGACAAAACCCAGAAGAGTCAACATATCATTGCTTCCCAAGAGTGTTTTGAGTGGCTGATTCCACTTAGCTCCTCAATCTTTATTTCTACATAACATTCATCCAAAAAAAGCCCCATACCCTGAATGGTCTAATGGTATGTAATCCATAATAAAGTCAGGTTATTATAACTATTGAAGCACACTATGATTGTCCTGAATTTATGCATCAGTAATTATTTGTTACTGCTTAATAGTCTGTGATGACATATCAGAATATGATTTTGCATATTAAAATGTTTTGAAACTTAGTACACATGTGCCTTTTGGAACTGTTCACTTTACATTCATCTCATCCAACAGCTTCTCAGTGAAATACAAGGAGTACAGTAAAATATTTACTATAACTTTTTATATAAGATGTATCAACTGCTGTAAAAATATATTTTATCAGTTCATACCTATTCTACAATATCTATTCATACGCTAACAATTTGAGGCTTCCACCTTCTAACAGACTACAAATTTATGTGGTATTTTCCTTTTTTTTTTTCCCCCTAACATAATTAATACTTTGGAACTTTTTTTGGGTTTGTTTTTTTTTTTTAATTGAAGGATTAAAAAAAGTACTCCTTGCTACTGCTGGGTTGCAACGTTAAAGCAATAGATACTATCATAATGATGCAGAGACTATGCATTACAATGCACTACAAAACAGATTTTATAGTCTTTTTTGCCTTACTAGAGAACTGCTTAAGTAACACAGTATATTTCACACTGGTAGAATGTATGAAACTCTTTAAGGGCCAGAGAATCACAGGAGCATTTGCTAGATCAGGTAGGTTTTTTATTTAGTTGGTTATGAATTGCTTTTATTCAGATAGGGACATAGAGTAAAAAAAAGCATTAAACAGACATCAGAAGGGCTTATGCCATGATGGAGACTGGGACTTCAAATTTGGAACATTCTCCATGGCATTGGGTTTTTATTTCTGCAAGCTATTTAAATTCACGAAGAAATTGTTTCATGCAATAAATTTTGTATTTCGCACGTTTCTAAAAGGTTTCTCTTCAAACTACCTGTAAAGTTTCCAGTGGATGTATACAGGCAGATTTATTTTACTTCAGAATGCATCACACATTTAGATTGGAACAAAAAACTGGCACTCAAATAAAAAAGGTACATAGTCCTCTAAAGTCAGTCACATAATTTAACACAGTGACCTACTGCCACTAAGAATTCCATGTCCCTTACAATGTGAGGCAGTACAGTATTTTTTTGTGTGTGTCTTAAAGATGGTGTTAACTGTTTCTTTAATGCCAGGACCTTTATGTACTTTATGTTGAACCAAGAGATATGTATTTTTTAAAGCAACAAGAGCAAAGCTGTACAATCTTCTGAAACCATCAGTGGGAAAAAAGGTAGTCACAAAAGCTGACTCACATCTTCCCTTTATTCTTCCTGCATATTTACTGACAGTCAAAAGACAAACTCATTCCCTGGAGTGCGGCGAGAATAATTTTGCAATCAGCTACCATTTACACCACTACGTTTTCTAACCATCAAGACGGTGAGAGTCCATCACAAGTTATTTTGTTCACACACAGAGATGAGAATATTAAAAGAAAAACATTGATGCTTGAGGGAAAGGCTAAAGGGGATCATCGTTCCAAATGAAAATACAAGAAATCACAAAACTTCAGAACTGCTGCAAACCAAGCCCTGAGGAATTATCTTTAGAATTATTTTTTAACGTGTGGATCTGAAAGATTTGAAAGTGCAAGCATGAATCAGGTGCAGCTTAGACAGCTTCTGATCCAGTTTTCCTAAATGACTCTCAATTTAATTGTCTCACAAAATTGCCATGTTTCTAGCTTTTCCAAGCTGTGTCTTTTTCAACAGGAGAGTGATGATATTATTTGATATAAACAAGATTTAAACTGAAACTGGAATAGCTGGTAGCAATTTAGAGCTTCTGACAAGGAATGTTCACAAACATTAGCTAAAAGCAGCGTTCTCTGTATCCCTATAATGGTAATAGCCTGCCAGATTTTAAACTGTCTGAAATGAGCATCTCTGCTATATTCGTTTCTCTAACAGCAGAAATACAAGTGAGAATCAGTCTTAAGGCCAATAAAAATTAAAACAGAAAACAATTTTTCTTTGAGCGAGCCTAAATACAGTACTACATCCAGAATTATGGCAACTTGCAGGCACAGACTTGTGTAATCTATCAACAAATATATTTGAAATATTTAAAAATATATGCAATAATACCTATTACTGAAATTTTTGTCCACTAACTGGAAAATCTGACAAAGACTTGGAAATCAGAATATGTTGACATGTTTAGCTAGCTTTTAAAAGCTTCTTCTCAAGGTACACAGAAGTTTATACTTTGCTAAACTAGTGCAGCTTAACAGCTGTTAAGAAAAAATCATATGTAATCAACCCCATTTAATACAAATTCTAAAATGCCTATTTTGTATGCTGATGTTCTATTTTCCAATCTGACAGAAAACCTAATTATTCAACCACTTTGTAATGTCATAAAAAACCTGAGAGCTTGAAACACACAGCCCCCCCGCAACACAGCAGATCAGCATCATGTGACAGCAGCAGACACAGCTGCCCAGCATTCCCACCTCCCACATTCGGACCAGAGCCTTGGCAATGCCTGCATTGCGCTATCCCGAATCATTTCAGCTGTGCAGATACTCTTAATTCTCACATTTCTCAACTCTGAGACTGCAGAGTCAAGCGTGCAGTCATCTTTCAGTGTATTTTTTTCCCCTATGACTGGTAGTTGATTTTTTCCCCCAAAAGTCAAATAAAGAACAGGAATCCCATCATGTGGCTTCACACTGCCGTCCATATGATTACAGCCAAGCTGGTCAGCTCTGGGACAGAGAATAACTAACTTCACCAGTAGGTAATTATTCTCTGCACAGAGCAGCACAAATGCAGGAAACTACGGGCACACACGCGTGGGTGCACTCCCACCCCCAGCAATCCTGAGGAATGTCTGTCCAGCCACAGGACTTCTGCCTTACCCCCCTCCTCCCCCAGCAAAATTTTCCCAGTCTGTAACAACTCTTTCCATACCATTTGGCTCCCGTCCAAGTTCTAGTCCTCTTTTATCCTAAAACTTCAAGCCTTGATAACCTGATCCTAATGTGCTACTGCCCAGTTCAGCCTGCACTAAGAAGGCTGAGACCTGCAACCTCAAAAGGTAGCCTGGGTTTACCCTCCAGTTCTGGAGGGCATCATACAGACTCTGCAGAAACTGTACATTCACAAGCCAGCCAAAATTAGTAGCCACAAGGGTATGGACATACGCATAATATAGTTACTGCTAGGACTTGGGACATCAGAGCATTTCTAGAACAAAGAATATTCTTAGAGAGGAATCTGAACATGTGCCCACTATATTTTTTCAGCAGCTCAATCTTGGCAAAACTGACAACTACTTTTGCAGAGCAGGAAAACACACGCTACTGTCATAAAGGCCGTTCCTTGTCAAAGTCCTAATCCCTGATCCAAAAGTAACAGGGCAATGAGTGCTCTTGAAGAAAAGGTCAGGAGAACTATTTTTAAACACTATAGAACTTAAAGCTTCCTTCTCAAATGTTTTTGGCAGGACTGTTTCCAAAACTGTTTACATTGGTTAAACTTCAATTTCTACATAAATATATTACATGTGTGCATTATTAAAACAAAACCAAGGAAAAGTCTAATTGACAGATTTATGTATTTAGTATCTTAACAGTTAAAAATGATAATGCAGCTTTACATTTTACCTTCTACACAAATAAATTTGTTTCTCCATTCAATACCATCAGGTCTTGGAATAGCTTTGGCCTCACGAACTGAAATCATTTGATGGCTCCAACTAGGGAAAAGGAAAACAATTTGCAGAACTTTTAACTCGTTATTCTAGAACTTTTAACTCTACAATTAATTATGTAATTAATAATATCAATTTACATTAAAAAATTGTCAAATTGCTATGTCATAAGCCTGGATAACACAGTACTTTCTAATAATGAGTAATTTAGTGTAACAGTCTAATCTTCATAATTCACTATGTAAGAGTAAGGAATGATGCGTAGGAAACAAGAAAAATTTTCCACAAACAGAAGTTTATTTACGAAAACATTTGCAAAACAGATCACAGGTACTCGCGAGTAACACATATTCATGACACAATAATTTTTTCAAAAAACAATGTCAACTTGAATATGGACATGTACATTTATTTCTAAGTTCAAAAGAAATTATAGCCTCAAATCTATCTTCCAGAATTTTCTGTGGGGAGAAAAGGAACGTAAGGAGTTTAAGTGCAGATGAAGTCACATACTGCATTCTATTAAAAAAAATTTTGACAGTATAAAGATGTATAAAGATAGCTTGCTTACAGGCCAGCATTCCTGGTGCAAGGAACCTATTATCAGAAAGCACTAACACTTTGTATATGCTGAATTTTAGATCTCCTACAAGAGTAGCAACAGAGCAACAACTCAAATACGTGTTTGAAGATATTCTACCGCTTCCTGCACACAATTTTACAACAACAAAACCATAGGAAACGATCACACTGAAAAAGTTTACAGGGCAATCTTTACAATGTGCCAAGCATCTTTATGATCTTTATGATGCTTGGCACAACAATATGCCAAACGTAATGGAAGCCAAAAGCAACCACTTGCAGTTTTATGTTCTTACCTACCCATCCAGTTTTCAGCTGCTCTTAACTAAACCAGGGAACTACCATATCAGCGAAATGCCTGGATCACCAACAACATGTCACCATATGCCCTGACTAAATGGAGCTCAGAAATAGCTGGGTAAGGTGCTGCTAGCTGTACTGGTGTTATGTACACCTGACGTGATCTCCTGACTGAATCAATCTTTTGACATAATGCAGAGAGGAGCTTGGCTGAGTGCATCAACCACCTGCAGTAAATCTGTAAATATCAACTGTAAATCAAAATACAGTCTATAATTCATCAGTTAAATTTGGAGGAACTCTGTGCTCCCTAGGCCACAGATCAGCTGTCATAACTCCATTAAGTCAGTGGTGATAAGACAATTTACACCAGCTAAAAATCCGTGCCTGTAATTCTACAAATTCTCTTCGATACAACTCATGATTAAAACCACTCATGAAAGTGAGCTGTTTGAATAATTGTACTTCCATAGAACACGTACATTATTCTTCTATTTAAGAAAATGAATAGGGCCTATTTCGAAAAGGTGCAGGACACAGCATATGAGGCATAGTTTAGGATATCTCAGATTACTTACCCACTGCTGTGTATATTTAGGTTTCCCTTGATATTTTCTTTAGAAAATTAGTACAGGTGTTGATCATTCTAGCATTCAATAAAAACTAAAGCTTTCAGTCTAACCCATCACTCTCCCTCTCCTTAATTCCCACAGCAGACTACTTCTGCAAGAATTAGAGATACTGTGAAGCACCAAATACTTTCCTAGCATGTCTTTTTAATAAACTACCATCAACACAAGCTTAACAAGAAATTCAGATGAATTGCTCAAAAAAAACCAAAACCAAGAAAAGACAAAAGAGAAAAAGCATGTGACTAGAGCATCAAAGTTTAAAGAGCTTAAACTGGAGCTCCAGAACATTGGTCATGAGCAGAAGAAGCTGACAGTTCAACTCCTTTGCTTTTTCTAAAAGCTTATCTAAAAATCAGAGAGATCCAGGCCAATGGAGGAAAAAAAAAAAGTCACGCAACAAAGTATTTTATCTGTGTTTGGTTAAACCAGTTAACATTGTTTCACTTCAAACATGTAATTCTTCTCGACTTCTTTTTCTCTAGGTTGTACTTGGCTTGATTCCTCAGCAAAAAGATAATGCGTCTATAATACACTGGTTTAGCAAAAAGCAACAAAAAAGCTGACATTTCTAGCTATTTAAACAGCTTTTTATTTAAACTTGAAAACAACTACTTTATCTAATAGTCTCACTAAGCCTTCACTAACCCTGCCTTGGTACCAAAATCAGCCTGAATTAGAAATGATTTACCAATAGCAAATAATTTGTGTATCAATTTTAACCATTTTGGCTTGCACACAATAACTTCGTTATTGCCAACACAAAGCAAATATTCTCTGCATGCACACTTTCAATCCATAAGTTAACAATAACGTTAACATAAGTGTAACGACATTTAAACAGCTATTTCAATTATCAGTTATTTCGGGTGTCACTGCCCATATTAGGTGTGTGCTCCTCATGGAAAAGGGAAGAACTTGAAAGAAAAAGACCAGGCATATCCAGGTCTAAGTGTGTATGAATACACTACAAACAGATTAAAAAGCTTATCTTTTCCAGAGTGTTCTTATATGCCAAAGCCACCTACATAAACACACTAAGATGGGTACAAATTGCAAGCATATTTAATTCAATATACTATTAAAAAATGATCCCTTTATTACCTGACCAATTCTACCCTGAAGAGAGCTGTGAGCAACTGTATTTTATATTTTGTCACAATAATGTAACCAACCTTTTATCACGTCCACCAAATACAACTTAATCAGTTGCTCATACGCTGCTACATAACTTGAAACAATAAATTTAAGAGAAGTACAGTCCCAAAGGACAATCTCTAGATTCCACAGCAGTAACTTCAGGGGAGCAAGGCCTTGCTTCAAGGTCTCACTTTTGTAAAGAGACAGCCAAGTGAAAACCTGCTGCCTTCACTCACGGCTGCAGAAGTGAAATCAGACACTCTCTCTCCAGAGGGCCTGGTAAACATGGACCAGTTTCCAAATACTTTCTTTTGAGAACACCTCCGTACATTTTTTCCTTGGACACATTCACTGTGTGATCAGTGGATCTCTGATAGTTCGAAATACTTAAAGTTAAAATGGAGTTATAAGCATACTTTTAGCTAGCTGTATCACGCAAAACATTATACAGACCTGAACTCTTATGGCAAGCTAATTATACAACCATGTCAGCAAATCAAGCTTTGCCATATGTAGTGTGTAAGTCCAATATATGCAGGAATTTCCAAATTGTATTTCTGGTAACTTATGAAGGTGGATAAAAATTACTGCTTATGGACACAGCGAAAATCTCAGAGTAGGACTGTGGAATATGCACTGTATAAATACATGGTAATCAGCAATTTTCTGAAACAGCTTATAGTCTAAATAAATGAAGCAGATTAAAAGCATATGGGAAAAAAACACAGCACAGGGAGATAAACTTATTCACAGCTGCACAGCATGCTGTTTCTTCCTTTGTGCCGCTCCTGTTTCTTCCTTTATGCCCTACTCTTTGGGTCCATCCTGACCTTAAATATTATTCACTGCATCAAGTAAAATAAAACATAGATTTTAACTGAAATACCTACTGGCCTTTGCTAGACTGAAGGGGAAGTTTAAAACAATGTATCTCTATCTTCCCTTCATCTTCCTGACCAAGACATGTAAAATAGTTGACCAGTTACGCATTCCAGGGAGGTGGTGTCAACGACTCACTCTGTCCAAAATTATGATCTTCACACATGATCTGATCATTCTTGACTGCATGCTGTTCTTTCAGCAAACCAGATCCTGTGTATCAAACCTGGTAGTGTTGTGTCCTACTCCATAGATAGGAATCCACAAAAGTCACTTTTATGAAAACTGAAGTAGTATTCTCTTTAGTAATCTTTTCATCAAACACATTGCAGTTCAATAGTGAAAGTTCACTGGCACAGTACAGGTCATTTAAACGTGACCTAACTTAATAATCACAGTATCTGAAATATAATGTCAAAACTTCTGTACATGAAAACACTAGTAAATGTTTTACAGGGAAAGCAAACACTGAAAAAAAAATACCGATTACAGCAATGAAAAATATTCAACACATTCAGGAGTAAAATACAAGTTCCTTCCATGAAAGGCAGAACTAACAGAGTCCTGTGTTCTGTGTATTTAACTCTTATCCTCACTCCCACCCAGCTATAACGTTGTTTCCATCAGCAACCTCAAAGGAAAGGTAACAGATACTGTGGATAGCGTGACACTGTACTTGTTCTCATCGGCTGACCATCACACACACAAAAATGTTTAAACACTATGTTCTGCCCGCCTTTTCCCTAGCACGGGCATTAATTTGGGTTTCTCTTCTCCCGCCAATTACCAGTTTTTATGAAACTATACGGAATTTTAGTATCTTCAGAACACACACCCTGCTCCTTTCAAACAGGATTTACAGTTGTCAGGGATACACAGATGATCAAGTAAACAGTACACCTGACTAAGTTTTATTTCTGTAGCAGAAAGAGTTAAAAATAATATAGCTTGCTGCATTAGATGCGTCATTTCCTGATATGACTTCTCAGCTATGTAAGTTTCCAATACAGGAATTCTAATGGCTATTTTTTACAGTTGTTGTTGTTGTTTTGTTTTTTGGGTTTGTTGTTTTTTTTTAACAGAATGTCACAGTCACATGTTTAAATGCTTAACAGGTACTTAACACTGGAAAAACAAGCCAAATATTCTTTTTTTGTTTGGTTTATCTTTTTTAAAAAATCTTTTCTTCCCTTGACGTCACCAACTACCCTATCTTCATTGTCCACTTTTTCAAGCTTTGTTTTAACCAGAAGCTCCCCTGTGCGTCTGTGATTAAACTTAGGCAACATTTTTTCCTCATTTATTATCACCACGAAAAATAATATTCAGGGATTACCATCAGTTCAAGTACTGATATTGCAGCATTGTTAGTCTTCATGCTTCTTAGTATATCCTGCCTGTCTAACAATGGGAAAAAAAACCCCAGTCTTCCTGGACCAGCTACTGACTTATGCAGAAATCTGCTCTTGACTATGTTCACAAGCACCCAAACCAGAAAAGTCAAATTAGGTATTTTTCCTCCATTTGGACAAGATCTTCTCTGCTAGTTTGCACAGGCAAACCAGAAACTCCTTCCTTAGTGGAAAAGATATTTACTTGCATAGATGAGAAGATTAAGAGCTCGTTATACAGACAAGTTGTAAAGGATGCATCTAGTGTCCCACATAAATTAGGAACTTGAGGATATCCTCCAGCAATGTCTTCTAATTTACCTGTTTAGCAAACAGCACCTTGCCAGCTGAAAAGACAGGTACTCAGGAGGAACTTTTAGGACAAAAGACCATTCCCTTATCTGCAGAGATCATTGAAGGAAAATCTCTCAGAATCAGGCTTAAGCATGCACAAAGTGCAATTAGTTCATGAATTGCCACAGGCCATATGGATTTAGCTTACATACTCCACATGTGGTGCACACCCCAGTGATGTTTTCTTGTAAGGATTTAATGATTGTTCACCTCTTACATTAAAGTAAAATATGAACACTTCAAAAATTATAATGAATATCCAGCAGTTATACATTTTGTTCCCCTTCCAGGAAATGGATATGATGCAAATACACAGGACAGCAACGTGTATGAACCAACTGCCTCAGAAACAAGTTCTTTAGAAGTTCTTTAAGCTTATTGAAATACAACCATTTAATATTTTATAAGGACAAGCACATTTTCTAAGAAAATCTCAAGTGACAATTTGGCAAAATATTTGTAATCTACAGCCTTCTCAGATGCCCTCACAACTTTAGCTTCTCCTTCTCTTCTACAAGAAAGTCCAGATGCCAAAATTAAACCCAGATCCTAGCAAACCAACAAGGCTAGTGAACCAACTATATATGGGAGAATTCTTCATTAGGTGTGGCCTATATTGATGTATATTATAGTAAAGTAAGGAAACAACTGGTCAGTTACCTCCATTGATTCGGGGTGACAGAAGACAAGCGCAGCTAATTAAGGTCCAAATAATTCATATCACAATCAATACCTTAAACTACAACTAAGAAGAACAGATTTTTCTCACCTATGGATAGGCAGTTTTAGAATAGCGTAATATAACAAAACCCAGCTATTTTTGAAGGACAAAGCTCTCTAACTTCTGGCAGCTATTTTACAGGATAGGATGCTTGGCTAAGCAAAAGATGTCAGACACTCTTTATCTGCATTCCTGTTGTCCTTTTTCAGTCTTTTCACCCATTTCCTCTCTGTCAGTTACCACTCCTGCATTACTGCTATTCTTTCTCTTCAAGGATTATAAAAGTGTTGCTATATTGAATAGAAGGAATCAAAGTTTTGCATATTCTAAAACACTAAGATGAGCTTATTACTTACTCAAATTCTGTGGCATAATATTTGAAGAAGCCTATTAGCAAATCTCCAAGGCTTGATCCATTTTTTGAGAGGTAAGGAGGAATGGTACATGGAGCTTGATGAACAAGATGCAACTGCATAGTAGGATCAAAAGATTCCTGTCAAAATAAAATCAGAGAGTATGTATATACACACACACAGAGCGCCTTAATCTAGGTGCATATATTTTTCACAATAAAAAAGTTGCCTATCATTTGCTTATTAGAAGTTCAAGGACACCTTACAAGCAAAGGACTCTATTTCTCTTGTGGTCCTCTGTTGGATACTAGTTACTCCCCCTGAACTCAGGTAGAATCATCTTGCACAGGAGTGTCCAAGACCATCCCTTTCCTTCTGTTTGCTAAAGAATTTTAACATGGGAGAATCTCTGAACTGGACTTGCATTTACGTGCTAGTAAGACCACATGAGCAGAAGCTGATTACGATAGCCTGCACTGAGCTGGCTGCAGTTGCACTGAGATAGGGTAGGTGAAGCTAATGAACTTATCACCAAGTTCCCATAACTGTGGTACGTAAACAATCCTAAAGGAAAGCCTGACTTATTTTTCCCACAGCACAGAGTTGAAATTGCATATCAAACCCACTGGCTCTAATATGAACCTGCATCCTCCCACATAATGAGTTCAAAGACTGCAGCAGCACCTCCTCTAGCCAACCTATCTGAAAGAATAAAGAAAAAAGTTATACAAAAAACCTGAATACACAGAATGCAGCATTTAAGCTGAAGTATGCTTTTCTTTGGGGGCAAAGGGATGGGGGAAGTCAGGTTTGCTATAAGCAAAAGTCAATATTGCCAGCTTAAAAAGGAATCTACACAAGACTAAATTAACATGGTTTTAGATCTGCTATACTGTTTGGGTGTCCATTGCATCTTTTAGGTTATTCTGAAAGACTGGGGTACATGGAGAAAAACATATCTTCTCTTGCTAGAGATACAATTTTTAAAACCTGGTAATACCAGGATACTACATTTTACAGCAATGTTGTATATTTTAAGGAAAATGAACCCAAGATAGAAAAAAGCAAGTTTTACATTCACATAAAGAAATAAATCTGTGTAAATTTAGGAACCTATTCAGTCATTAGTGTATCTCCACTCCCACTACTTTGTTATTTTAAAAAGTAGTGTCAGGCATAACTCAAACTTTCTAGTACTAAATATCACTGGAAGCACTATACACTGTAATACTATTTCCATGTTCACAGCTGGCAGTGCTCCCTCTGAGAAAAGTATGGTTAGCATACTTAGCTAGCAATCAAACCAGTAGGACTGGAAAGTTTGGGACTCCTGTCCTCTTTTGCCAGTTCTGGCAAAACTTCCTGGAACCTTGCGCAACACCTTCTGGGAAAAAAGGCCATTCTTCCATCTTTTCCAACTTGAAAAATTTCAAGTCTTGTTCTCACATGATATAACTTTGTATATAAAATATTATTATACTTAGCAGAGCTCAGAATTTAACAGCTCACAATCCAACAGAACACACCAAAAACACGGAGACAGACAGACATAAAAAGCAGATATGCAGCATATAAAGATCTAAAAGGGGAACAGTTATTCCTATGTTATACAGTATATACAGTTTTAACCCCAAAGGTAATCAGACATGTGTAGTGTGAAAGTCACTCCTTGCCCATTCCCACTCTTCCCAACAAATGAATTTAGTACTAGCAGTATAACAGCTCACAAAGAAATAGACGCAGAGGGAGAAAAAAAAGAATGAGAACAAGGGCTGCTGATCTCCAAACAATACAAAACAGAAACGCTATGACATTACTACAACAGATGCCTGCTAAGACTAATAAGTAAATGTTTGGAGGCAGCAGACATTTTTGAAAGGGAAAACAAGATTATTTTTTTTTTAATGCTTTGAATGTTCAAATGCCTGAGAACTTCTCAACTGCAAGAAAAATCTGCCACCACAGTAAGGTTGGCATACTGAGCAGCTAAAAAGTTAGACTTTGGGATATTATTTTTCAGAATAATAAATAAGCTATTTTCTTTAGCACTATTACTATTATATACTTAGAGAGCACTATTACTACTATATACTTAGAGAGGATGTTGCTTTTTCTTATCAATCTTGGCCTTAAGTACATTTTATTTATGTTTCATATATTGATCACAATTCATTAATTTTTATGAGTGTTTGTACATCATTTGAATAAGAAAAAAATAAATCAAGTTATACTAATAGCAAAAGACAATAAATCAAATATAGTTGTAATAAAACTTACAGCAAAAAAGGAGAATACATGTGCCTGTGTGTGTATGCTTACATCCAGAAAAAAATGAAAGAGCAAAAGGATATCAAATACGATTTTATCCAAAGATATTTTTCCAACAAGATTTGTTAGCAGTTAATGAAATAGGAAGTTACAAAACCTTGCAGAGTTTTAAAATCACAATTCTGTATTTTGAAAAAGGTGATTATGATAGAAGCATAGTCCAGATGAAGGCATTTTTCAGGATATTAAGTTTGTCTGTTTCTTCACTGAGTTTGCAACTGATCAAAAGTCATGCAAGCAGCAGTGATAAAACTAAAAGACTCCTCAGTTGAGGAGCAGGAAATGTACCACATTCCAAAGATTCCCACCCATGGCAGAAGAGATAAAATTCCTAACCTGCATTAGAAGGCAATTTTCTAAATCTTCATCTAGTAATTAGGATTAAAAAACTCTTCAATTCTGCAATCTAAAATTATGATGTTTAGGGTTTTTTTTCCCAAAAGCAAGTTCAATTTCATGAAACCTACAGTTCCAAGTTTTACCACGTATATTAAATACACTTGCCTCACAAAAGTCAGGCAAATCAGTTTTCCTTACTCAGAAAAGCATTTGCCTTCAAAAAATAAACACATATTATTCTATACAAGTGCTCTAGTCAAAACACAAGTTACAGTCTATAGCAGCTAATAATTTAAAACCCCAACCACCTAGTTTAAGAGACACACGTGTAAATAATTCCCACCTCCACTTGTTTTAGTGGTTATACCACTATGAAAATGACCTTAAAAAGACAACCAAGTATTACAAAATGGAAAGCATGACTCAAACTACTTTTCTGGAAGAAAAGATTTTTTTTACACTAAGTAAAGCAAACTGTTTATCACATGTTTGTGATGTTGTTAGTCAACTTTTTTTTTAAACACTGCAAGTTGTTGATCACCACATGTAGAAGGAAAAAAAAACGGAAGTGTTTAATCTTTCTGAAATACAGAAAATTTGTTATGGAAGAAATTGCTATTACCAGATTAGAACGCTTTACATGTAAAACCAAATTAATTATTACTTAAAATTGAGTATGGGGAAGATTTAATGAAAACTTCTGTCAAGATGTACCAATATTCAATATATCAATAACCAACAATGTAGTCTGTTTGAAGTAATTTCTTAACAAAGCAATCACTCAGTGTCCAGTGAACAAGAGGTCAGACCAGCCACAGGATACCTATGCTCATTTTTCTGCTTTGCCACGGACAACCCATGAAAATCCATTAGACTCAACCCACCCTCATTCACCTATTGTAAAACAGGGATAACAGTACTTTTCTTCCTGCCAGAGGGACTCGGGGAATAACTAGATAAGCAGAACAAGGTACAGCTTATAGATTCTGCACATAAGGGAGGTTGGTAATAGAATTACAAAGCATCCTTCAAACTAGCTTAATTTCGAGTAGACCTTCCCTGTAAACTTTCCCTCCTTAACTTGCTCTAGAAGGCAAAAAATTCAGCTTCTTTTAAAACTAGTCCCTAATTTGCTTGCTGTGTCTTTCCCTCATGCCATCTTAAGAAATGGAAAAGAAATTAACGATCTGATTGAGCAACAAATACAAATGAGCTATCCATGATTTCAAATACCCCAGAAAAAGGGACCCCAAAATCTTTTTTCCTTTTCTGCTAGATCTCTAATCTTTACTTTGGTTGGCTGATTTCTCAAGGAAACACTAGCATTCAGCAACATGTTGCTAAGCTACATAATGCTTAGACATATGCTCATTCCATCTTACACACTGGCAAGTAACACAAGCGTACATCAAAAAAATTTACATTTGAATATCTTGATGTATAATGAGTTTAACTCTGACAGTACAAGATTCTTCCTTCAAAAAAGTTTACAGTGGCAACATCAGTGTAGTATCTTGCCATTTTTGATAGGTATCTATATTCACACACATAAAATAACCTTTCCCAGTCTTACAAATGAACATTTAACTCATATTTGTACTTTAAAAAAGTGCAACTCAGAGTGAAGCAAACTGTGTCTGTCCAAGGACTGACTCCCTTGCATGAAGGACTGTTGTGGTTTAACCCAGCAGGCAGCTAAACACCACACAGCCGTTCGCTCACTCCCACCCTCACCGCAGTGGGATGAGGGAGAGAATTGGCAGAGGGGGGAAGTAAAATTTGTGGGTTGAGATAAAGACAGTTTAATAGGACAGAAAAGGAATAACAACAACAACAATAATAATAATAATGATAAAAGACTATATAAAATAAGTGATGCACAATGCAATTGCTCACCACCTGCCAACCGATGCCCAGCCAGTTCCCGAGCAGCGGTCACCGCCCCCCAGCCAACTCCCCCCAGTTTATACACTGAGCATGACATCGTATGGTATGGAACAGCCCTTTGGCCAGTTTGGGTCAGCTGTCCTGGCTGTGCCCCCTCCCAGCTTCTCGCTGGCAGGGCATGAGAAGCTGAAAAGTCCTTGACTAATGTAAGCACTGCTTAGCAACAACTGAAACATCAGCGTGTTATCAACGTTATTCTCACACTAAATCCAAAACACAGCACTGTACCAGCTACTAGGAAGAAAATTAACTCTATCCTAGCCGAAACCACGACAAGGAGCTACAGTAAGCACCGTCCCATCTTCTGCCCCACCCTTTGCAAGATGACTGCTCATGAAGCTGAGGCAGCAGAAACAAAAATGTGCCCATGCTAGAGTCCACAAAGTTCACAGTCCAGAGCACTAGTGGAGACCCACCTCCATCTGGATTTAAGCTAGTACGCTAGGCTGCTCTGGAACATTGAAGACTCAGGCACACGTTCCCTTCTGACTCCCAGTTGCAGCAATGTTCACCTCTGGCAAACACACAGGCAAAACAACCAGAAGCCACAATGGCCTAAGACACCACAGGTTCTCCAGAGCTCATCTGTAAAAGTCTTAACTTGGAGGCAAGTTCTATATAGACTTCAGAATCAATCACACATTTTGTGGGCTACTCTCGTCTACCCCATCTGGCTGGGGGGGGCAGGAAGCCCCCAGAATCCAACCCCACATCTGATATGGTCCAATGTTCCCTTTAAACTAAAACACGTCATCTCAGTGCCAGCTGGAGGCTCCCCCATGGCAACTGAATGCATAGGTGGGCAGATCTGGTGGCTTTCCAGGACTTCTCACCCTTCACATCTGCAGTAGGGATATACTGAGTCACAGAATCTGCCTTTTGTTTCTCGCTCAAGGTAAGCATGTCTCTTTTACACAGCACCTACAATTTAAAACAAGCCGTTTCCTTCAAAGTGCAGAAGTATTTTCAGGCTGCAGAAAAAGCTGCAGATTTGATTTTGAAAAAAACAGATTGTAGGTAGGGTGGTTTGTTTCAGAAGGGGAGAAGTGGTATTTCTGTGTAGTACTAGGATGGAGACACAGCTTTGACCAGCTACAACCACAAAACATATGGTTTCTTTGGATACTGACATTTGCCCGTGTTTTGTAATTATTACTGCAAGCTACAAGACCAGAGTTGTTGTGGTGTATTTCTCATTTTCATTTTAAATTTTTTTGCAATATCAGTATTCAGAAATTGTAACTTTCACAATTTTTAAACACTTAATTGTTTTCCTAATGGAGACAGTAGACCAAAAATATATTTGCAAATTTCTAGCATAATTTTTTAAAAATCTTAATCCATAATTTTGATTTGGTTTTATAGTAAGCATGTATAAAATATTCTTTTTATTTTATTAACAATACTAGAATATTTAGTCCATCCTCCAAAGGCAAGATAACAAACAACAACAAGAAAATCTACATTGAAACAGGGTAAAAAAATGTTATTCTTAAGCAGTGTTCTAGAAACACAGGAACCTGCAAGCGATTTACCACTTCCACATGACACAAGATAAAACCTTACATTTAGTACAAATTCATTAGATTTTTCAGCTTATGGTATTTTATACTTTTGCTTTAATCATTTAAGCCATTAATATTTGTATTGTGCTCTGAGGGCCTTTATACAGTTCAAACACTACAAATATAAATGTTTGCATTATTATTACAAAAGAGTGAAAAGTTACCAATTCTTAGTTGTTTTCTTTAAATTAGATGCTATGCAAAACTTAAAATACTACAGCATATGAGCTTTAAGCAAACATAAGTAACAAATTTAGCAATTCAAAAAACCCATCAGATAAAGCTAAGTGTACAAGAAATTTAAAAACGGCTTCAAATGCTTTTGAGCACTAACAATGAAGAAATTAGAAGGTATATATGGCACAGTAAAAAAATCAGAGGGAAAAATAAAGACCATAAAAATTTAGCACAGGTATGCCTGAGTAGGTTTACAAAATAGAAATAAAACTGCAGTGTACTATAGCTCAAAGCTTTCTTCTGCATCTTGATTACCCTAACTACCCAAAATGGCTGACACCACAGTATTCTCTCCCTGATGTACAGCGTCAAATATTCCCATTTCAGCATTATAGGATACATATGCAAAAGAAAGACAGGCTTTCTGATACTACCTCAGCACAATCATCAGCAACAGTAAAAAACATACATAGACAGGGACATCAAACTATGGAAACTATGAATAAAGAAAAATTTAAAAAGTGACACGTGAGAGGAAAGGTAAGGAGGAAGGAATTGAGGAATTTCTGTAAATAAGTTACAGCATAGAACAATTCCGCAATAGCTCTTTTATTCCCAGACAAATATTTAAGAGGGTAGCTCTTATTTCTAGATAATCTTCCTTAGATTAAGTCTCACTAATTACAGTCCTAATTCTGCAGAGGATCAAAAGGATCACAGAGTTCTCTGGAAATCAACAGAGTATGATCTGAACATAACAGCAAAGTCCCCAAAAGGCGTTTTCTTGTTGGACTGAAGCCCAATTTTGTAAGGTCTCAAAAGTCTCCTTAGTAAACACATATCATTCACCCTCTGCACCCAGAAATATCAGGCATCTCAACAGCTGTGGGAAGTATGGAATTCTGAAACACCATAGTTGGATGGAAAAACTACTTAACGTATTAAGAAATAAGAATCAGAAAGTTACAGATGACACAGGGATATTTTCAGGCCAGCATAAAGAGAATTAGGTCAGCAGCTCTCATTAGCACTCGTTTCCAACTGTGTGTGAAATCTTCTCATATATAATAGACTGTTTTCACTGAAGAAATGATCAAAAGCAGCAAATAACCTTTTTCAGGCTTATGTTTAGTGTATCAGTGACCAGGCTTACAGACTGTGTTTAACTTAATCCATTAGAGATATTTAAGATTTCATATATTTTAGATAAGCAGCTTCATACACATATATGATGTAGTAAATTCATAAGAAACACTTACTGGGTAATTTTTTTGAAGGGATGGAAGGATGGGTTCAGGTAGGGCTATAAAAAAAAAGTTTAAAGTTGCTGTGATTCATGTAATTCACAGGAAACAATATCATATCAACTACACCGAAGGGCTGGACTGAAATTCCATCTCAAAAACATCTATCAAGAACGTCACTTTCATGCAGTTTGTAAAGTAAAGGTTATTCAACAAATCTTTCTATTACTATATTTTGTACATAGTAGTATAAGGAGTTAATTCAGCTAAGTGAAACTGTTACTAAGATACTACTATTTGAGGAAGACATGAAAAATTCTGCAGCAGCTGGGTATGACTTCACTTTTAAAATTCATATTAATTCATGGCTATAAGAAACTCATCTAGATTTGCTAAAGGAAAAATCAGAGCTTCACTCTTTTTTTTCCTGCATCTAATACAATATAATTCTGTCACAGCATAGGAAGTCTCCAGATACTGCAAAAGTACACATTCTTCAGCTGCAAAATATTACATACTGAGTCTCCAAAAGTAACGTACAGATAAAATGCCCAACATGTTTACTAGGCATTGCTAGCAAAATCCCCATAAAATACCTAAATACAGTCTAATGTTGTTAGCTGGTTTACTAAATGGCAAACAGGTTATAAAGATTATGCAGACATTAATGATACTAACAAACACAAAATTAACTAAACAATTATAACTTTTATGAAAGTCATGGATAGGGAGAGCATCTATTACACAATACAAATGACAGGGAAAAAAACTTATCTCCCAGGTTAGGTGGTCCTACAGGTAGACAGAAAAAAAAATCCCAAAGTATTCACATCCCACTCAAGCCTTAGAGCAGCTACAGAACTGTTAGAGCATTCCTCATACTAAAGCTTTAACATCATGCCTTCAGCATGTTTTTTTTAAATAATTGGTCTACATCATTCACTAGGGAGAATGATAATTAAGTTCAGCCCACAGGACTTTGACTTGGGACTTAATTCACCCTTCAGACAAGGTCTCACAGGGGATGAGATGTTACAGAATCCTTCTTCCATAGAGACTAAGAATCAGAACAGAATTCTCAGAACATGCTTGGGATATCTTCAAAGCGTATACTATATTAAGCAGCAGGACTGCTAAGAATATGATCACAGCTGCTTTAACAATATTTTTATTTTGTTTGTGGGTGTTTAGAAATATCCAAAAGCATCTTATTTCTGCAAGATCTTGGATAATTTCCAGTTCTCTGCCACACTAAAATAAAAGGCAACAAAATCTGAACAATACAAGCAATCAAGATATTTTATCTGGGCCTGTATGCTATACTAAAAGGATGGAGTTAAAGGGGAAAAGTTACCACTTACCACTAGCATTCACCACATGCGTTTTCCTTTTGTTAGTGTACAAAATAGTTGGACCTGTTACCTGGAGGAAAGTTCATGTACAAGACACTGATGTATCTACAAAATAAACTCAAGCCGCACTAACCTTAGGTCCAAGACATACACACGGGTGTAAGAATATGGAAATGGATTAAGCAGTAAAGGAAATAAATTTGCCTAGTGAAGACAGAGACACTATGTACTGCAAAAGAAAGCTTTTGGGTTTTTTTTTCCCCTCCCAGTAACATCAACAATAGCTCTATTAGAAATTCTATGACTAGGACACAAGCCAGTTTTCCGTAGCACCACATCCATGTAGCAGAACTAAAAAAAAAAAAAAAAAAAAATTTTAAAATCTGCATGAATAAAACATCAGAATCTAAACAGCTGATGCTGGATACATGTCCAGAGCCACACTTCAGCCTTTTTTAGCAGAAAAGACTGATGAAGCACAGGTAAAAGGCTTCTCTTTGGTCTGTGGACTGCTGATCCTTCCCAAGCAGCTGACTGATCACAGTTTTGCATGAAAAGGATTATTTGAACTTTTTTTTCCCTTCCCTAGACAGCTGTGGCAGCTGCCACAGATGACTACAGCAAATGCCCTCATGCTTGCACAGCTGTTAACGTTCTGGCAAGCCTACACACTTATACTTCCTTGGAACTCCTACTCTCCTCCCTTTTGTGCGTTACCTTTATGCACAGCTCAGTAATTGACTATCCATGACTGCACACAGCACCCAATACAAGTCTCTACAGTAACTGTGATACAATGAAAATAGATTTGGAGAATAAATTTCCAAGTGAAAAGGCTTGTTTCCATTAAAAGTGTAACACTATCAAATGCTTCTTATCAAATCACTGTTAAGATGGTCACTAATTGCTAGACCATGTAAAGATGCTTTTTCTCCTCTCCTGCTTGTGCTTCACCTTTGCATAGCAATCTTTACATCCAGTAGTTCCCAACATTTCCAATCTTGTATCTAATAATCATTTTGGCATTTTTAAGTTCATTGTCATTTCATCTCCTCCAAACCAACATTTTTTGTTTAATTGATTTTTTTCCCCCCTCTTGTGTACTAAGGATCTACACTGAAGTACTCAGTCACCTACAGTATGATTTCAGAGCTGTGACAACAGACTTGGCCACATTTTCTTTTCTTTCCACAGAAGCAAAGAAATCCATGGAATTCCGCTATAGTAGATGTAGAGGGAAAAAAAAAAAAAACATAGTCACTGGATACATTAGCTTATGTCCTACTGTCCTCGTGATTGGTACATTAACAACATGCACACACTATGGGCATCAAAGAATTCAGAAGTAACCCAGCCAATTGGATCCCAAATACACAAAACACCCTCCTAGGTCCTCTACTACAGATACTGTTCAGCTGAAAGAAAGCCACCAGCTTGAATCAACTATCATAAAAAGCTTTCCACCCTAGTACAGAGTGGGTGTAGCACGATCTTGAAACTAATAAATAGTTGGCTACCCACTCTACAGCAAGTATCTACATTCCAGGCCAAACAAGCTGTCAGACAAGCTAAACATTGTTTCTACCTGATTTTAAAAAGAATTTTTTTCTTAAAAGGGGAAAAGTCTAAAATGAGAGCCTATGCAATTTGTCCACAGATATGGTCATAAAATCTTAAGAACCAGTTGTCATTAAAATAACATGAAAAAGAATAATCAGCACAAAATCAGTTACCAAAAAATTAAAACAAAGGTGTAGAATGAATACAAGCAGCAAAATACACAGTCTACACATGAACTAACAGGAATTAAGAAAATACTTGTACAGGCTTGTACTCCACAAGATGTACACTTCAGGGGTTCCTTGCCTTTCTTGCTAAAGCCACTTATCTCCCAGTAAAGAACCAAGAAACTCATACTGAGCTAAATGATTTCTTAAATGATAATCCTTAAGTCTTAAGCAAGAACTGCAAACTACAAAAAACAAAAGTGGACTTCCTCTAATGACAGAAAGAAATAGGGGGATAAGCTCATTTCAACCTATTCCTCAAAAACATTTCTGGATTGCATGGGAATCAACAGGGATTCTCAACAGGGATCTTTAGTTTCTCAGGTAAAGCTCTCCAGCTCCATACAGATGTTCAATGTTTTAATATATTGAAGTCACAAGAAAAGATACTGCCACTGGCAGTCAAATATACCAATTTCTAACGGTCTTCGACATCTGTCACCTTACAGAAGACAGTAATCAGCGGAAAAATCTAATCACATGGTAGTGCTTTCTTACATATGCATCTCACCCATGTTCAGTCCTTCGCTCACCAGAAGACAGAAGAATGACCCCACAGCATTTGTTGTCCCTTTGAATTTTCTTGGAAGTTCCCAAATAAAAAACCAAACAAACTACAAACAAAAACGCAAACCAAAAACCACTGAAATTATGTTTAGGTTTTTCCCTTTGTTAAAAGGCAGATTTTTGTTAACTAGAGCTTGAGTTTATTTTATAGTTACACAGTGTCCTGCAGGTACATTGATTTTTTTTTTTTTAACCTTTTTAAAGCTGGTAACTCTGCCTCCAGAGAACAGGTCCACTCGTTAAAGAAAAATGCAGCACTAAGGAAATGGAGTAAACCCACTTTATTATCAGATTTTTCTGTGTGGAAGATGACTCCTGCTGGTGTTTAATTTTATTAAAGAGGAAAACTACACAAATATGAACTTAAAAGGGACAGTTTCAACACGTAAAAAAATACTTACTCTGTAGATAGTGCAAAACCATCAATACAAGACTATAGCTGCTTAAAGTACCACGACTGGCATCATTTATGTCATGAAAACTCGCCCACTTCTTAACAACAAGTACTAATGGACGAACTCGATTCTCAACTGCAAGTAAAATAAATACGTCTCAAAAAAAGCACATTTAACTAGACAGCAACCAATCAACATTTGTTCCTCCTCGATCAACATGATACTCTTGTATTCTAAGGTTACCTTTTGCAACCATTTTATAGAATTTACTTAGTTATTCTACAACTACTATCCGTCTTGTAAAAATCAGAAAAAATATTTGCATTTGCAAACAGTCTTTTGAGTAGTAAGATCCACAGACACATTACAAGGGGTATGCCAGGTAACTTGCAGATAAGACAAAACTGGATGCATCAGTCAACACAGCAGTGTCACATTCTACTTTTAAGTTCTCTCCAGTTCATTGTAATAATTTTCCCTGAATTAACTTGCTGCCAGGACAGACCACGTCTAATTTTTTATTTATTTTTTTTAATGTTATATAAACTTTGAGGGCAGGGAAAAGAATTCTCCCAGTTGGAGGACACAGAGCTCATTGTTAAATTTTCCTCAGGATCCATGAAAGCAGTAACCCCTGCATACAAACACTAATTTTAAATTTGCCTTGTCCTAATAGCTTTTGATGGAGATACGATGTCAAGACATATGCTTTTCATGAGGAAAGACATAAATACAGTCATATTCCAGGTATGGTCTTCTGAATTTCTGGGGAATATAGACAGCCTTCTAATTAAGGTAGTAATGTGTTGTAGGGAGATGTCACTCACCACCACCTCCTAGGGACCTTGCAGCATACTTATTATTTGCAGATATGTGGAAGCAGATCATCAGCTCAGTCAAATGTCTTATGATGGCCTTACAATACCTTGTATGTTCTGGAGTATCTTTTCTAACCCAACAACATTGTGCAAAGCTTTGTGTTCTGCACATCAGGACAGGAATATATCAACAGGTAATCACTTCATCCAGGACAACAGACATCATACAACAGCATCAGTTGGGGTACTCCCTGTTATTCTGAAAATCCTATCAAGCATGTGATTTTCTCACAACCGGTTCACAGTGGTTCAGCACACAGGTCCCTGTAAGTGGTACTCTTTTTCTCAGCATGAATGTCCTAGACCTGGAAGACCTCTTAGAAACAAAGCTGCTTAAAAGCAGTCATCTCATTCCCGACATGATGCACCAGTGGTTGAACTAAAAAAAAAATATGTTGAGTACACTAACTGTGAGATGCAGAAGAATTACTGTACAGACATCATATGAACATGCATTAACTGAAATAGGATTTTTCCATGAGAAAAAAATGCAAATAAGCTAAAATTCCAAACAGGATTCTTTTGTGTGTGTGTGTCACAGTAGAAAAGACTCTTTTTAGTTGACCTTATTCTGAGAGAAGGTTTTCTCTCTGCTAGTGCCTGTAATTAGTATATAAGAAAGTTAATGGGCAACATGGCCAGTAAAATTTTCCTGATACTTTCATCAGTCAACAACCTACCCCCTCAAGAAAATGCTCATTTGCTCAAAGGTCCAGCTTCCACTAATTGAAAAATACCTACCATCAATTGCTGATTTAATTGCAGACATGCCTCCTTAGGCAAACAACTGACAAGGCAATAGCATAGATTTCAGTTTCTAGCTCTGCTTCATCTACCTACATTTTCTGTGGACATTCTGTTTCACTTTGCCGTATCATCTTTGATGTTTTCTACAGCACCTATGCGCTAACATAGAAGGGCTGATTTCAAAAAAAGACACAAAGGCATCCACAGAAGTATTTATGAATATTCTTTTTTATCATGCCCACTAAGATAACCAGTCCCTTGTTTGCCCGAGCATCTAACTTGTTCTAATGGAACAGAGAGACCCATACATCTTCCACATAAGAGGTAATTTATCTTTTTTTTCTCCCATGCAGGGTGAAGCCCTTCAGCCACAAATTTAAGTTACTGAGCTAATACTTTTAATGCTATCCACCCTGGTTGATATGACTTCTAAAAGTATGTAAAGAGACTGTCCAATAAAAGTTTCCATTTACTTTTGTTTGCCTTATGTCATCTGAGAGTTTTCTGGTCCAAAGAAGACAAGACAGACTATGCTTGATACAGTTTGCCTATTTAAGAAGGTCTAGCACATTGAGAAGAATCTTTTCAATCACAAGTCTCCCTTAGCTACTAACTCACTCCTTGACCTGAAGAAAATGACAATATTTGTCCTTCATCAGGAGACATAAAGTTAATTTTGCTGGCCTTATAAAAGTGGGCCCAAGGCAGAATGGAAGAAAAGGTGGGAGACTAGGACCCCTTCCACTGCTCTTTTCACATCTGGACTCTTGTCTGCCCTAGAGTGATTTGCTGAGAGGAGTAAGGGAAACCTGTGGCAGAAGTTAGGAACACCTATATCAACATTAGACTTGGTGAAGTGACCCCTCACCTGTAGCCATGAATGACAAAGATTATCTCCCTAACCTTTTTAAGCTTGGAAGGAAATCCTTCTCCAGGCACATGCCTTCCTGGATGTATGAAGAAGTTACAGTTAACCAACTGATGCAGAGCAAGTTGTAGAATCTCCTAGTAACGTGCATATGGAACACTGAAACTACTCTGACTGAAATATTAGTAAAAATTCACTAGTAAAGGTAACTTCTACTGATAACTTCCTACGCTAAATAGAAAGGAATTCCTGTATGCAAGAACTGAAGAAGGTGGGAAAGGAAGAATCGCAAATGGCGTAGAAGAATTAGCCTGAGGTCCACTCCTTATGTATTTATCTGCCAAATGATGCTGTGATGCTAAGTAAGAAAACCTTAGTTTAGCACTAAGCGTGCTGCTCTTACTACTTACTTCCCCTTCAGAAGTCTGTTTCAAAATCTCTCCCTAAAATGCAAACTCCTGAGGAGATAGAAACCAGTTTTGTTTTGGGGTTAGTATAAAAACTGAAGCAGTATTTTGGATTTTCCAAGGAAAGACTCTGTAGCAGCATACAGACACAGCTAGCTATCAGCCACACACACCTATCAGTGGCTGTAAGGAAATAAAAGAAACTGGAGATTATACCACTAGATAATCACTAGTATAATGATCTCATTATCTGCAGAATACTGAAGCAGCCCTTGTAGCAGATATGTGGACCTTAATATGAAGAATCTTTGTTATCTTCTGAATATTATAATATTGGATTAAAAACATACCTAGCTGATATATCAGTTTTCTCCATATATTTAGAGTGAGCAACAAGAAGTTATCTTAAAGCTATCTAATGCAGCTCATTAGGTACTTATATATATAGTAACCTATCGTATTCAACTGACTTTTAATAGTCTATAAATACCAAAATACAAATTTAAAAACCAAAGTTTATAGAAATAAGAAAATACATTAAAAACTTACTGTACGCATAGGTTCTCAGAAGGAATGTATTTCTTATTCCTACAACATTGTTTACATTCAAGTCAAACTCCACACAGCTATTGGGGAGGAGAAAAGAAAAAGAATCAAGCTTCATGGTATTCAGTTTCAGGATATGTATTACCTACTTAGTGACAGAGGTGGAGAAATGTAGCTTTCAGATAATACTCTAGAAACTTTCTTCAAACAGAGTTTTGATGCCATGATTTCTACTCTGGTTTTGTTTATAGTACTTGAATTGCTTGTAGACTTGAATTCCATTGTTTTGGATTGTACATCCAAGTGTACATTACATTTACATTCCATGTAAAAATGTACTTGTTTTATATAGAGAATACATGTAGATCCAAATTTAGACCTTAGGACAACTTAATATATCAAATATGTTTTGGATTTTTAACGAATCTTTCTCCCAACTAGAGTTGCACTACATGATTTACTATGGACAACTTTTGATGCCAGGAAGGATTCTCTGAGGTATCAGTTTAGGAAATCATGCCAATGAACTGAGAAGGAGAATTGGAAGAGGTCAAAAGGTAAGAATCTCTTTTCTGCAGTGATGGTCAGAGATAATCAGCAAGCACTTTAAAATGAAAACTGTTTATTAGTAAACATTGGATGTTTTGCGATAAAACAGTTTTAATAACTGTTTCATGCTGTTAACAGCAAATAAGAACAAGGCAAACAAGCACTACCTATATTATTTATATCACATCCCGCCCCAAAGTTTGAATTTCATACTGCATATGGAGCTTAACTACTCATAGTACTCAAGAAACGATATTAAATTCATAGTTAATAAGCTATAGCAACACTGTTAACTCACAAGACAAGCCTATTATTGAAAAGAAGTAGCTATCTGCAGTATACAGCTATTTCCATTTTATACATTCAAGTCTCATTCACATAGCATTTGTTTGCCTGAATACTCCTTTGGCTTTTCCTGAATTATTGTAAGGGGAACATGGACCTGGAATTTATTAAACTGGATAAAACACATTAATTTGATGTCTACAAAAGGCTTTTGACATCATTAACTGCATTAAAACACCATTTGCATCAAAAATATTACATAACTTTAAACCTGAGTTATTATCAAGCATGACTTTTTAGATGTTTTAAGAGCATAGTACATAATAGCACAGGAAATAAACAAGCTTGAGCTACTGCTTAATAGTTGTAAAAATAGGCATAAACACCAGTAAGAATATTAGTTGTATGTGTAAATATAATAAAGAAATATGTCAGGCTGCATGTGTAATTCCAGCTAACCCCAATTGACAAGATTACTATTTACCAGATGCTGATTAAGCAAGTTCTATTGCAATTATTTTGTATTTTAATATGCACATATAATAGATGTATGGTAAGTGAAATCATGGTAAGTGAAAAGGGTTTTGTACTGTTAGGACTCAATTTCTACCAAAAGCACTAAAAGAGAGAAAGAGTCAACTGACATCAAATGTAGCAGAAGAGGAAGCTTTTGCATCCTCTGTAGTACAGAAATCTTGTTAATTAATCAAAGGCTTGTCTGGTAGTAGAGCCAGCATTGGAATTATTTCCTGGGAAAGACTACAAAAATAGAAAGATAGTAAGTCTTTAAGTGCAATGGATCATCCCTTACTGTTACAGCGCTAAAAAACCCTTTAAGAAGAAGAACAAACACAAACTGAATGCTTTCTTGTTCTCCAAATCTAACTAAGTGGGAAACAGCAACTTTCACGTATATATGGACCATTGGGAACACATTAGAATCCAGATGCAGATACCACCCATTGAATTCTACTGTCTTCTCCCAGCAGCCGGGCATCAAGAAAACTGGCTTTCACAGGAAGCTTGTCATGTTTAGTTTCTGGTTTTGGCTAAAACAAGCTTAGTGCCCTGGGTACAGAATATCCAATCCATTTTTCAAGACCTCTGTGAAGAAAATGAACGAGTGTGCATGTATGTATATGTAAGAGCCTATGAAAGACAGAGGCCAATAAGAGACTGGAAAGAGACAGATGCTTAAACAAAAAGACAAAACATGGGTGGAGGTGACAAGTTACATAAAAGAAAAATAACTGGGAAGAGATTAAAAAAACCCCACCCAAACAAAAAACCCATCCCAAAGTCATGTCATTCCCCCCCGCTCCCCTCTTCCAAAAAAACAACACAGGAAACCAGATGGTGAACAGTACTGTTTTTTTCTCTGAAAAATGTAATGGGCAGCTTCTACCCTAAGAAGATTATACTTTGATTTCATAGGAAATAAAGAATTCTTTAAATCTTGTCTGTAAGGTATAGGAATATCATGACTGGTACTTTTTTTGCAAGTGACCATAGTATGGACTATAAATGCCTACAAAAAGACTTCAATCTTCTGACATAATCACTTCCATACTTAAGGTTACTTTTTAAAGTTTATTTTCTGATTTTAAATTGGAAAAAAATATTCTTGCTATAACTCCATGATTTATTCAATATTTGTACTAGGAATTTACCATTTAGTGTATCTATGAAAAGACTAGCATTGTTATATGTAGCTAAACCATTTAACCCAAATTTTAGCTTGACAAGTTTAATACTTTCAGAAAGCATGGGATAAACAACCTTCTGTACTGTCACAGGAGAAAGTTACTAGATAAAAATTATTCAAGATTTTAAAAGGTAGGCAAGTATACAGAAGTAAAAATGGGATTAGGTGTAAATGAAAAAAAAGTATAAAGCAAAAACCCTAACAAGTGTTACATAATCTCAGATGCAAGAAAAGCTTAAATGGATGATATTTATTAGTTCAAATTGTAAACATGACAGATTCAGTTTTATCACAAGAGGGTTTCTGCCCTGATAAAGGTATGTTGTGATAAAAGCACATTGTAATATGCTTTTATAGACAGGCCAGAGAAGTGGGCTTGTTTGTTTTTAAAAGACAGGGACGGGGTTGCAAAGTTTTAGAAGCGTATAGGCAGGATAAGATAGTTAGATACAAGAGAGTTGTTCAAAGTCCTATTTACAAAGAATAGTCAAGCTATGTTATTACATGAAGGTGATCCACATAAGTCTTACAAAATCTAAGCCCATAAGTATAGGAAGATTTGAATGTTACTCAGACTCCCAACCAATTTGAGTGCTTTGCACAGGTTTGTTTTATCACACACAATAAGAAATACGTTGTTCTCTGTCCTAGTACATCCCTTTTGATTATTCATTTTCATGTCTTCATAATGAAGATACAATGAATACAACAACATACAACACATCCACTTCTCTCCAATTACTTCCCCCTTCTAAAAAAAAAGTCATAAAATTAGTACCTAACACTGTGAATAAAACATGTAATACTACTTTGTTAAACACAGAATACGTCCCTAGAAGACAGCAAAATACACCCTTCTAAAATGGACAAAAATTTTTTAATCAAGAAAACGTCATCACAAGAAACCGAAGTTTTAGTGTTATTTGTATAGTGTAAATGCTGCGAATTAGTCCTTAAGTACCTCAACAGTTATGTTTGCACAGCAAGCAAAATTGTCTTTCACAATCATTTTTTTCCCACCGTTGTTTTTCTGTCACGAACCATTTGTCAACTGGAGTCCACTACATACAAATAACCCATTGAAATACATTATGTACTGCTACTAATTCACATCACAGAAACTAAACAGCACCTCAACCACAAGAGGTGTTTCAGGCCATCAAGGAAGTAAGCTGACTTGCCGGTGCACGCTAGCTGTACAAATTTGCAATACAACTATAGTACGACACAAATAAACAAAGCATGACTTCAGTGGGACTACTCATATGGACAGTACATATATACAGTACTTTACCATGTCAGAGTCTAAAAAACAATGTTGAACACAATACTTGCCTGACTTTATCCCTGAACTTCACTATCGGCACTTTTGCTCGAATCAGCTGAGGTCGCTCAATGTAGCTTGCTAAAAGGGAGAAAAATATGCAATTAAGTTTCATGTAAGATGCTGATCTTAAAATAAGATCCTAAAGTGGAGTCATATTGACTGATTTATAGCAAATAGTAGCTTATTAAATTTAGCAAAAATATTCTCAGAAGGGTTGTGCTAAACTAAGTAACCTTTAGCAACTGCAGCAAAAATACAATCTAGGAAAGTGTGTGGGGAAAAAAATGCACTAAACATTAGAGAAACACATTAGTGGAAGATTTTTCTGTGGGAAGTATATTCAAGAAATTTGAACATAAGGAATGCAGTTCTAAAATGCTTTCACTGAGCAGTACTTGTAATAGAAATCCTGAATAGTTGTAATTAAGGTTCAAAAAGAAGGTAGCAAGAACATATCCATCCAGGACGGCCAGACACTTAAGCCCAGCACTACATTGTAGTAACGGGCACGTGATCAGCTGCATACATTTTAATCGTGTCTAGTTTGTCTACAGTTGAAATTACGCATTTCACTGATCAAAAAATATTAACATAACTGTATCTTCACTAGGCACTGATTATGCTTAAAACGTCCTTTAAAAACTGTTTATTTGATTGATAAAGTACATACCAAGAAATACACTTCCTATCAAACTGTTACTGAAAACAGGACACCACTTTCCATCAAAGATGGGATAAGCGTTATTTGCCTTTTGCTTTAATGGTGATAGGACATGCAGTAAATATACAATCACAGGACTGCACCCCAGATGATTATCCACACAGTAGAGACACACAGGCTCAATGCCAGACCATCCAAACCCAAACATACTAAGCTTTGCCAGACTCATACAGTGCCACCAGATGCATCTTTGCACTCAGCTCCCCAAAACTGTTGGGTCAGTCATGTTATCTGCGATTTCCCTATTCTTGACGATATCTCAGGCTATATTTAGTAGTTGCCCATAATCCTGAAGGAGAAATTCACCCAAGAAAGTAATGGAAAAGACAAAGAAAAGCAGAGCCTGTAGGTTACATGGTATGAATTTGGGCAAAAAGCACTATTTTAGTAACTTCCTCGGTTGCAAAATCTAGGACCACTTGAACTTGCCCACATGTAACATCATACATTTTCCCCTTGCTTCTATAAATTAACCTCAGATTAACTTAAGTAAGTATGACAAAGCTAGAAGTAATACAGTCTAAAAAAAACCTTAAATAAAAGCCGATCTTCTCTTTCTGGGGGAGGGGGGAAAAAAAAAAAAAGGAGGTATTTCTATCAGTTTGGATAGCAACCTTGATTAAACAGTGTCATCTCCATTGCATTCAGATGACAACTTCAGGTTTGGTAAAACCCTACCGTGCAATATTCAATTAAAACAAATTTTACCTTTTTTTTTTTGTTGTTGTTGAGAATTTCTGAAAGTGTTTTATGGATATGCACACAGATTTGATCTCAGGTAATCCTTTATCTGGATTTGAATGCATTGTATGATCCTAAGCAACACACAGACTGGTACTCAAAAAAAGAGATAATCTTATTAACTTACTAATTTTACAGGAAGAATCTTACAGAACTCCAATCCACATTCACTGAACATACAATCTAGTACAACTTACACAAGCGTCCCCTCTTTCTAGCTGCATCTGCAGACACATCCAAGCATTACTCCTCCAACATCCCAGAACATTCTGAAAGCAAAGTTATAAAGCGTGTAGAGCTCTCTGCCTTCTTTCCTTTCACCACCAAATTTAAGACAAAGATGCCCAACGCATTAGCACATGGTAGACAATGGTGGGTATCTATCTTCATGCCACAGCAATTCAACTTTCCACTATGACCTTTCTCAGGTGCCCTTCAGAAGTTAACTGAACTCATTCTAGTGGCAATCCACTTGCAAACACATCCTTGTCTGCAAATGCCTCCCAACACTTGATGGATGCTTGTGCCAAATTAGTTGTCTAAGAAAAAAAAAATAAATCCCAAAACATAATCCCAATCTGTTTCCTGGGGTGAAACAAAGCAAAAAGGATGTTAGCAGGCAGTTAACTTGCTGCTGGTACCCTCTTTCTTGGCTCACACTGATGACACTGTTAGCAGAATCTCTATTGTACGTTAGGTTGTCATACATACAAGGAAAAAAACAGTCAGAAACACAGGATGTGGAATTCTGAAATACATACAGGTTGAGCAAATGCCTTAGTAAACTGACTATCTGACCTTGAAGCTATGACCAGAGGGGCTACACCAAAGTACACATAATGAATTCCACATTCAACTCCTCCACAGTTTTGGGCATGTTTATGAAAAAGTCACAAATGCCACTTCAGCTGCAGTGGAAAAGAACATAACCACTTCAAAGAAGACTAAGCAGTTTCATAAATAACTTATTCATGCAGAATTTCAGATTAAACAGCTTAAGTCTCTCCTTTTACAGAATAAAAGATTAAGCAATTGTACAAAATATTAATCCCAAACATGGTATATGCCAAAAAGATCTTCGGCATCCTGCACATGTAGCCTGCTCTCATTGATAGGGTTACACTACAGAAAGAAAAACTGGGCGACACAGAAGTCTGAATCCAGAGTCATGAAGAATCTAAGAGGGTACAACCCAGCACAGGATGAATTAATTGCTGATGTTTGGAATTCACTCACCCACCTACACAGTCCTTCAAGGTCACTCATATGAGTTCAAGTTCCCTTGCTTGTCCTAGCTGTTGCACGTTCCCCACTAGACAACCGTTAGGTGTATTCCACTCTGATATCCTTGTCTCAACATTACTGCACCTCTATGTATAACTAAGAGAAAACAAGCTCTTTGTTATTTATTTAGATAGTAAACACCAGTCAACTCAGTACTGCTAAGCTGTTTTTCAAATTAATCCTGCCTACATGAATCTGAAGAGAGTAATCAGTTTGACGTTTACCCTCAGTGGTTTGGATTATACTCTCTTCAATATGTTGTAACAGTTATCACCCCAAATTCATGTTTCACATTTCACATTTCTAAAAGACATTGGCTTGAGCATACAGCTCTGGGAATGTTAGCCAATACTGTAAAAAATAGATATGTGCAGGTATCTGAACAAGTAAGTGGAGAAAGTTACACATACTCTGCTAGTCTTTGAAACAGAAGATATATTATTGCTAACCTTACATCTCTCTACTCTAGAAGAAACACAATACATGCCTTTAAGACTAACATGTCCCACAAAAACAGTGAACAAATATCAGAAGCTTTTTCCTACTTTACTCTGTGACTAGACTATTCAAAAAAAGAACACATCTTCATTTCAGTCGGTATTCTAGATGCAGAATGACAACACAGAAAAGCCTGTGCTCTAAGACTTTAAATCTGATGGGCTCAAACTCCTTGCTCACACTTGTTACCTTTTGCAAGCCTGAAACTGAAATAAGATGGAGTTTAGATAAATTTTGAATCCACTTCCCAAACCTTCTAGAATGAAACACTAAACTAACAATCACAGTTAACTGTATATAAAGGATAAAAGAGATGGCACTTAAAGTTCTGAAGATGATTTACCTAAAAGAAATTGTGAAAGACACTGATCTAATCTGCACTTGGAATGCTTCCTAATTTATCAATCAATCATGGAATTAAGGTGAAATAAGCAGAGAATCACACTGTTTTTATAGCCCTTATTTTGGAAGGTACAGGAACACCACAGAATGCAAGAACAAAGAGAAAGATCTTAGGAGAGTGTCGTTTAACCCCAGTCAGCAACTAAGCACCACACAGTTGCTTGCTCACCCTCCTCCCCTCCCGAAGAGCAAAAGCAAGAAAATTCGTGGGCTGAGATAAGAACAGAGAAGCACAGCTAGAAAAAACTTGTCCCAACTTTCTGAACTGAAATGATCTGGAAAAAGGTTAAAAAAGTTCTAGAACATTACCTATACCACAAATCTCCTCATTTCTTTTTGTCCTTTAGCTCTTTCACAAAACCAGCCTGAGAACTTTGTTTTAAATAACATCTTATCCTTCCTCCCCCTTCTTGTTTCTCTTACATCTTGGCTCATACTTCATTAGCTTTCATGTTTGGCCCAAACTATGTTTATTTCTGTTCTCTTGTGTGAAGCAAGGAATAAGTTCAATGACAGCTCACACACTTGTTGAGAACATGCTGCAGTCTTTCTTCTACAGAAGAAAGAATTTCTTTCTACAGAAGAAAGAAGGAAGAATTTCTTTCTACGGAAGAAAGAAGGAAATACTTAACTAGTATTGTCAAAGAGCGATTACCTTAAGATTACAGGTTAGCATCATACACATTAACTGGATAGCACAAAACTTAAAAATAATGATCAGAAGAAGGTTCATACCTTTTAGGCTGTTAAAAAGCACGTCCAGTAAAATATAGAATACTGTTGGAATGAAATTGCAATTCTTAAAGAAAGTTGGTACAGACAAGTCTTACACTTGCTCGTACACAGCAGCAGCATACGTGCACTGCTAACTCTTTAAAAAGTTGCAAATCTAGAATTCTGGTTCAACTTGAAGTAACGTCTCAAAAGAATTACAATTTCTGTAGGCTTTTTATTTAAATGTATGTACTTGTAGATCTCATCCTTGATGGCTAAGCGGCAGCTGACTTCTGAAGACAGTAGAAGGTAGGAAACCACTTAAAAAAACTGTGGTTCTATTAAAAAAGAACTTAGCAGCCAATTTGGAGCTGACAATGAACAGTCATTTCTAAGCATGCGAACTTAACTCCACAAACCAGCAGGAGTGCCAACAGGACACCACTGAAGCACATACTGCTAAGATCATTTCCCCAAAGGCAAAGAAAAAGCATATGAATCTATTAGCTTCTGAAGTCTAGCCTAGGGGGACTCCCTCCCCACCCCCAAGCAAAACAAACCCAGAAGCTACTTTGAAATTATGGACAACAGCAATTATATTTGCTTAAATAAGCTTTAATCAAAATAACTAGGCAACCCCCTTGTTTCAGAAGCACTGAACCTTAGCATAGTTGAGCTACAATTGGTAAATGAACTAAATCCAAATGGAAAGACCCATATGGCAAAGCCTCTTAATTTTGAATCAGTGAACATTTTCGAACAACTTTTGTCTATCAGTTCTATCCACAGAACATCCATACACAGGCACAAGGACAGATGGCTAGGTGTAGGAATTCATGCCCATAGTGATGTTAAGATTATGAAGAGATGATCTAAGAGGTCTACATACACAACTAAGAGAGTCTGACAGGAGCGGTAGTATCAACAGTGTTTCGTCCTACCTCACCTTCCAAAGAACATTTTGATTAAATGAAGCTGACCAAAGGCACTTGCAAGATAACAGAGAATTAGGAAAGCATCAAAAACGAGCAATGGCACAAAGAAAAACCTTCAGGGATCGCTCCCACATGACCATCGTGTCTTTCTGATACTCATATTCCCTGGCAAACAAACATGATTTTGTCTAAAGCTCTGTCACAGAACACAACCTCTTCAAGAAAGAAGAGGGTGATAGTTTATTTAGATGCTGCCTTTTTGATCCCTGAAAACACAACTATTTTATCACTGTGCATCTCAGAAAGCACTGGAACGACTTGCATCCTAGGCAAACCCAGACTAAGTTCTGGACTCGTTATGCAATCATCAATATAAAGTAGTAATAAGCCATTAAATATCAGACGCCTACTCTGTGATGGATCTATCAAGTCTGTCTTCAAGCAAGCTGTTGAAATCTGGGTATGTACACTTGCCAATGAAGAAATTTTGAAGTCTGCATTTAAATTTATGGTTTGTTCCTTTTACCATTGCAGGATTGTTCAGAACAGCAATATAAAGAGCAACATCAAAGAATGTATCACAAGTCTGAGAGGTAGGGGGACACAGTCATTGATAGCAATAAATGACAGGGTCTTTCATAATTCAAAGGATGGTACAAAAGCCTCTTGGAAGTAGGAGGCTTTCACATTTAAGTCAAGAACTGCCCATGTGAATTCTTCATCTGAAGAGAGTCTAAGCAACAACTTACAAGAACTATGAATTGACCTGTTTCTCCTATATGTGCTGGCACTGTCAACATTTTCTTCACTAAGCACCTAAGTTAATTATTTCACTGGTATCAAGCCCCCCCCCCCCCAATAAATTCTACACTATCTTCTGTGAGCAACATCTTCTTTTACAAATTCTTAAAAGAGTATTGTCCGCAGGAAAGCACTGCAATCTAAAAGAGTAGGAAGAGTTCACTAACAGAGGATTCCCAAACAGAAATCAACTTCCACTCCGCCACCCCAAATTGTGGTCCACAATTCAAAAGTCATTTTAGATGCTACCCATTCCTGAAGTCCACTAGTTTGCAAGGCAATCATTATGTTTTTCTAATTACTATCCATCAGCACCAAGAAAAGTAACATTACTAAATATTTATAGCTTTTCTCCAAACAATACTGTGCTTAGAAGCTAGACAAGATGCAGTAACATAAATTAGTCACAACTGTGCATCAATAGTTCTTCCAGAATTGCCAATAATCTTACCACCTCACTGTAGCCAGGAACTTACAAAGTTTAGTACTGAAGAGTTTTTGGACTAAGCTGAGTATATGCCTTGCTTCAGTCTTCTGATTTACCTGAAATACGATATTAAAATTAAAGAAAAAAGTTGGTATCTCTCATTTAGATGTTCCAAGTAAGCATGCTTTACTTTTCAAATAAAATCAATTCTCAGAATAAGACATGAACATGTATACCAACACATTCCACAGCCTACATATACATTTAGTACAGCAAAAGCCAGACAGAACAATTCATATTCAGTACGCAAAGTAACTATCAGACATTCACAGATCATAGAACCTGATGAAAACCTATCCCCACTTATACAAAAATGTCCTTTCCTTCCTTTTCAATGATGCTTCAATTCTTTCAAAATTATGCTCTATTTAGATTTCTTTTTTGTTACATATTTTCTCTCAACCTGAATTTTCTCTCACCAAAAATAGTTAAGAAATTTTGCATGTCAAATTCCTTCTTATGCCTGCTCACTAAAATTAGTGGCTATGAATCTAAGTAATGAAATAAAAAAATTGTACTTCTTTTAAAAGTTGTTCCTGCATCTAAAATGAGTTAACAGTTCTCTAAACAATTTTCTTCATGATTCTAGGCAATTTACTTCACTGCTTCGCTGTGCTTATTTCACTTACGGAGTGAAGGTAATGCTTATTTTTTTTAATGTTTTGTTGGTTTAAAGTGTTTATAGGGTTAAATTCGTATTTTCAACATTATTGGGCCCACAGTTCATAGCTATTTTGAGTGCAAAAGTATGTTATTAAATCAAAAGGATTTGACCATTTGTTTCTCATTTCAGAATCCAGCCTTATAAAATCACATACGTTTTAAAAATAGACTTTGTTTTAACTATATACGTTTTAAATTACTTACTGGTTCTTCTTTAACCACCAGGCACAAGTCACCATCACTGCTACGAGTGCCAAACCCATTCAGCGAGGACCCAACCAAAAAGAGTCTGCTCTCTGTAATAGAAGAATCACAGAATAAAAACTGATGTGACGTATCACAGTTTAGGAGGAAGGAAGAACCATGAACCTGAAGAACATTCAAACTGATATTAAGTAATCAAATTCAAAACTTACGTGGAAAAATTCGCTGAATTTCTCTCTGGAGTTCTGTTCTGCAGAGCTCTTTTCTGTTCAAATCATAGGTCTGTTGCTGACATGCTTGAAACAACTCCAAAACCTGCTGACTTAACTTGACACACACATTCAAAAAAGTAAAGATAGAGAAGTGAGCTTTCTTTCCTAACAGAGGTGCAAATATATGAAACACAGAAGACAGCATTAAAAAAAAAAAAATTCAGCATCATTTCATGCAACCTGTTGCATTGTCTAGAGTTTTACCGTACTGGAATTCATACTGAACTTCCCAGAAGAAATTTCTGCAAAGTTTTTAAATTTAAATTTGTTCCATCTGTTATAAAATGTCTATCCATAGAAAATAATTTTTGCCTCTGTTGTGGTTTAACCCAGCAGGCAGCTAAACACCACACAGCCATTTGCTCACTCCCCCTCCCCAGTGGGATGGGGGATAGAGTTGGGGAGAAAAAAAGTAAAATCTGTGGGTTGAGATAAAGACAGTTTAATAGGACAGAAAAGGAAGGGGAAAAACAATAATAATAATAATAATAATAAAAGAATCTCGCTCTGATCGACAGCCCCAGAAAGGGGCGGTGATTGCACAG